TGTTTCATAGTTCAGCAATACTGATCAATCTAATAAACTTAAACCTACACCATCCTCCCTATTCTGGTATTTTAAAGAGTACTTAGCGTAAATATTAAGCAACCTAACTAATAGGGTTCCAACTCCCAGCAACAACAAAAATAAATAAATAAAAAATAAGGAACCACCCCTCACACTCCACCTCATGATGCTTAATCGACGTAATCAACCTTAATTTGATGCAGTGTGAAAAAAAATGCACAGAAATCAATTATTTTTCAAGAAATATTAAATAGATTCAACAACTTTCTTCAACAAAATTGCAGACTGCGCAGATGGTACCTTCCCAAAGGAAAAAGTACTATAGCTTACTAGGGTATATATATTAGACTTAATAGTCACTATATACAGTAATTGACTTCTATTCATTTTACATCAAATTAAAACTTTGGGTGTCAGATAATTATTTATTAAAAGCTCGACATTTTAAATGAGAATAAGAAAGAAAAGTATGTCTTTGTGCCCCCTTTTCCCTGTTAATGCCCTATCGGCCCCCCTGGCTAAACTTTGCTAGATCCGCCCCTGCACAGTTACCAGCGTCAGCTGCGTAGAAAAAGATCCTCGAGTAGAAAGTAATATTAAATAAATTCTAACAACAGCTGATCAAGCTTAAACGTGCTGCTGTTGTTCAGCTGCTGGTTTCCTCTTTCTGGTGCAAAGTGAGCCAAAAACAAACAAGAGAGACGATCAGCTGATCATTGATCAGTTTCATGATTGAAGTAGCAGCCGGAGAGCGAGAGGCAGTCGCTTGTTAAGCTTAACGCAGGAATGCTTTACAAACATTCAGAGATGGACTTACACACTTGCTTTACTTCTCTCGGGATAACTTTGTCGGAGATGAAATGCCGGGTTGCTAGCGAAGCTCCACATGCTATCCAGACCATGCCACAGCCGCTCTATCACGTGATGCATACTGCTCCGACGTGCTAACGTTCTGAGGTGAGTTAGGGCGTGTGGCAAGTTTTGTGAGGTGCTTTCGTGATATTTAATGGATCGGATTACATTTTTTATTTTTCTCCGATATCCGATCCAGTAATTTAGGTCAGTATCGGACCGATACCGATACGTAATATCGGATCGGTCCATCTCTAGTGCTGACAGGCTGTACTTCAGACACATCCACAGTGCTGAGCATCGCTGGCTTGTGAAGCACTCTGGTGTTAATCTGACCAGAGGATGAAGACTTAGTTCACCAGACGAGATGAGAGATGAGAGAACACGTTTACTGAATCTTTGCTGGAGAATAAAAACAGGTTTCAGACAGAGCCCACACAGTTAATGAAGCGTGTCATTTTCATCTGCACTTACTTATATTTGGGGCTGGGACTCGGTTCTGTAGAGCAACAACAGACAGCAGCATCAATAACAGCAGATATAACGTTAAGTCAGTAACAAGAAAAAGATGGAGCTGGAGATGAGGCTTGCAGATGTGACTGTAGGATAAAGCAGACCCAGCATGTCGTATATGAGGTTTACGGACTGGACGCCAAGGTGAGACGAATGCTGTGCTTGATTAGTATCAGTGTGAGGTCCGATGCACTAAGAAAGAAACTGAAAGCTATTTAAACTGTAATTTTATGGCATCGGGAGTAAATACCAGCTACAAATATGATTATGAGTTTATTTCCTTAAGTGGTTAATTTTTGGATTCGGTCTTGGCACTTTTGACTTACCGTACGCTTTCACTGCCTCAAAGCATCACTTAGATATTTTGCTTAAGAGCTGGTAGAGACCAAACACAGAGCTCAAAGAGAAGCACTGTGCTCTAACGAGCCCCACATACCAAAAATGAGTCCTGTAGGTTTAGTCCTGAACCAGAAACTCGGCAGTGTGGACGTTTTACACGCAAGCAGCTTCTCTTTGTGTTTTTGCCTTTTGCTCCCTTATCGCTCACTCCTGCTGCATGTCATTCACATTTGGTGCCCCTGCACTGGGTCTTACCCCACTACAGGCAACTGTAAGTCCATCCAACTGGGACAAGAGAACAAAGCAGAGGGAGGATTTTCTATCCCTTAATGGCCCGGGAACACCTCAGGAGAAGGTGGCTGAGGACTGGGCCAGCTTAGGCTACGTCCACACTAGCCCGGATAGATTTGAAAACGGCGTTTTCGTCTAAAAAAACTGTTTTTGTTTGAAAACGCTCCGCGTCCACACTAGTGTTTTCAGTTGTTTTCAGAGTTGTGCATCCACATTGAAATGGCAGAAAATGCTTACGTTCCAGTTCTGCGCATGCTTGAAACGCAAGAAGATTCAACCTGCCTCATTTAGTCTGACGCTCCTTTACTTTCCAGCTCTTTGAAAGGTCGCAGTAAAATGTTGAGGAAAAGCAGCGAGTTTTTTTAAATGGACTAACAATGAGGAGTTGTTGCTGCGAGTAACACAAAAGCACAAAGTTGCAAAAGTGAGTGAGAATTAAAGAATTTGAAGAAAAGCTCTCTGGGGCATGAACAGACATTAATCTTTAATAGGGCTGTCAATCAAAACAACTGCTGTGTAATGCCCTCCGCTATCATTGTTTAATTGGTCACATGACTGCATCACATGACTGTTTTCACCGTCCACACTGTGACATGAAAGCGCTGTTTTGAAATGTATGTCTCAGTGTGGACGGGAGGCCAAAACGGAGAGAAAACCATGTGCTGTCAAATGAAAACACGTTAGTGTGGACGCAGCCTTAGACTGCTCTGCTACCTTATCTTTGCCCTTAACCTTGATTGGCCCTGTGACCACGGCAGACCCGATGACACGCTCATGCTTTGCAGCGTAATCTTTATTTACACTCACGGTTGCTGTACAGTCCAGGAGCTAGCCGAGGTGTGACTGCAGATGCAGCTCAGGTGCGTTCGCCTCCCCTGCAGCAGCACTGCAGACCACCACCACAGGCCCCCTCCAAGCAGTGACCATGTTAGAGGTTCAATAGAATTCAACTATTAACAGGCTCAACGCTCAGACGTCGTGACCTTTGAGCTCACTGATTCAGCAGAGTTCACAGTTCATTCTGAAGACAGGTGTGTGTGTGTGTGTTTTCAGAGACACAGCCAGCCAGGTGGACAGCAGGTGAGCCAGAGTCGGAAGTGACACGTGGCAGAAGCTACTCATTAGCCAGGAGTCAAAACAACAACATCAGATCAAAGTTTAAAGTGAGAACGTGAAAGCAAAGAGAAAGGGAAACAAAAGAAAAGCAGACAAAGGACTGAGGGGAGGAGGGAGGTGAACCGGCAGGAGACGGACAAAGAAGGAAGTTTGTCACATCCGTTGGAGAAGTTTGTTTTGTGGATTTGCTTCCATACACCAGTGCAGTGGATTTTAAATCAGACGATCGTGGTATGACCAGCCGTGTCCCGTTCTCTCAATATTCATGGACAAATTAAACATCTGATTCCAAGATACCATTGTTATGTTTATTTGGGTTTCTTAAGCCTATCAGGTAGAGAGGAAAAACAATCTACAAAAGACCACAGAAGACACATGAAGCGAATGATGACAGGATTATTTCTATGGTTCAGGAAAACAACGTCACAACTAACCAAGTGGTGAATATGCTCGATGAGACAGATGCATTGCTGTCAGAGTCTACGGTCAAAAGGTGCAAACCGCCGGTTACACTCAACAAATGGAAGGCCAGGCTGTGTGTGAAAATGACTGAAATTCCTTAACAGTTAATGCAAAATCTTTGTAAAACCACCAGGACATGTCGTTAAACACACTCCAACAGCACAAACAATCCCAGAGGTCCAGTTCAGGGACTCCAGTTAGCTCAGGGGAAGCCTAGCAGACAGCTAGCAGCTACAGCCACCTGCGTCCCCATCCACCTGTCGGTCAAAGAAGCCACGCCCCTGATAATGCAAACATTAATGACTAATCGAAACAGGTGAGTTATAAACAGTTGTTATGAAGGGGGAAACGAAAGAGTTCCAGCTAACAAGAAATGTTACGTGTCCACGAACACATAGCTCTCCTCTTCCTCAGCTTAGGCACTCGTTAGCCTGATCGCTGAGAGAGAAGGTAGCAGGTAGGTGAGGCAGTCATCATGGCTTCATGAAGTCCGGCCTGTTGGAGCAGTAAAGTGAAATTTATTGGGACGCTGTAAACACTGAGGTAAGCATGCGCCATTAGCGTGCTGCCTGCTGTAACCCCCAATTTCCCTCGGGATGAATAAAGTATTCTGATTCTGATACTCAGTGTCCATGTTTTGGTCTGACAACTGCACAGCTCTCTGTGGACTACTGTGAATATTCTGCGCACACACACACACACACACACACACACACAGCTGATTGTGCAGCTACCAGTGTGTGTTTTATGACTCTGGAGGCTTTTAAATCGTAATTTTCCTGCATCTGATTCCATTTACAGGACTAATAAGACTTTATTCAGTCGTCGCACTGACTGTGGTTTGGTAGGGAAGGTTAAAGAGGTCTCATAAAATGATCGATGATTGTATGAATACAGATACGTTTCATTAATGCTGGGCTTCACTGGCTCCAGGACCACGGGACCATTTTTTTAAGCTGTCATCGGGAACGACAGAGAAGGCGATCGGTGGACATCGTGGATTTATTATCAGCGCAGAATAAAACAGAAGGATGGCGTCTTTTCAAAACTCGGTGGAAACGAAGGAAATTACAAGATTATTATTAATAAATGAAATAAATAAATAATACAAAGGAAATTAAATAGTGAGTTATTATAAATGAATTCTTATTAATGTTGTGAGCACTGGACATAAAAAAAATGATGGGTATAATCTGTAAATAAATGAAATACTCGACTACGACTGCTTTTATTGTGGTTTGTCATGTATTTACCTCCTTTTTTTGTCATTTAACACGTCGGCAGTTTTGGTCCTCGACATAAAATAAGCTGGAGGCTCAACTGAGAGCCTAAATTTAGTTTGTAGACATGGAAATGTACAAAGTCTCGGTTACACAGACAGAAAGAAAAACACAGTACAGATAATGTTAATATTATTTTTCTAATTTATTTAAGAAAAATATATATTTGTTGATTCTGATGGAGACATTGGGCACATTAACGTAGACATATGTACAATTCTCTTTCATAAATACAAAATTATTTACAACGAGCAAAATTAAATAGGAAAACGTTCTTCTGGGAGGTATGTACACATTGCATTGTTCTCTTAAATTAATGAAGATAATACAAAGACACGTCTACACAAGAACAACACGTATTTTTGGTATCAAATGGATTATTAAAAAAAACAAAGGAATAAAAGCTCTTTGGAGTCCTTCACTGATAAAAAACGTTTTCTTTTTTTTCTTATATAAAAGCAAAAAAACCCGTCAGCGGCGTTTTTATTGTCAGACCGACTGAACTGGGTCTGCAGCGGTTTCATGAAGGCAGCTTTGAAGTTTTTGATTAATAGAAATATAAAATTCAGCTGGGAACAAATGGACCCGTACGATGAATCCAGCCCAACGGTTCGACTTTGATTATCTTTCAATTCACAAGGCGGAAAGGCAGGAAACAGCTGATTGTTATTAGGGGAACAAAGCACCCCCCCAGTTCACCTGAAACATCATTTACACAGCGATTAATATCCAGGGCTGAAGGCTGGAGATACAACTGGGGCTCAGAGACGGGTGGACTGACAGGCTCAGCGCAGGATTTGAACTTACCATTAAAAACCATAATAAAACTCGTCCAGTCTTCTGGGAGAACATCAGACAGTGACGTTCTCACTCTGATTGCTGGCTTCAAGTCTTTTTGATGTTTTTAGGGACAGAGGCACTTTGGATTCTGCAGGTTTGGTGATTGTAAGGCGGATATTTTTCATACTGAACAGGCCACAATGTGACGAGGAAAAATTGAACGGCGATTGAAGGTGGACGACAGAATCGTTGTCACAAACTATCCAGCCCAGGTCACAGATACATGATCTGTGGAAAGGTACGGCTGTTTGACCTAAAAGAAAGAGGTTTGCCTCCCATTTCTGCGAGCAGGTCCTCTGATGATTGCGAAATTAGGGAGCATAGCTAAGGCACCCGTCTGTGTGAGAGGCGGACAATTCTCGCTTCGATCGTTTCGATCGTGGATCCAAAGAAGATTAAGAAAGAGTGCAGAGACAGAAAGTCAGGGCAAGATTTAAAGAATGAATAGTGCAAATGATGCCAGACGTTCAGTCTTTCCTCCCTCGTCTTCTCATTGCCATCCGAACATTGACAGTATCCAAGCAGACTAAAACAACAGAAGTCTCTCCATTGAGCAGCAGTAATAAATATTAAATTAAAAAACTGTGTGTAGAATAGATCCTCTGGGTATACTGTTCTGGACAAAACACTTTCAGGCCCTCAGCAGAAAAGATCCTTTGCTGGTGGTCTGAAAAATCTCAGGTTATACCTGAGAACGAGACAGAGAAGCAGCGGTTAGTCATCAGCGTACGGCATCACTGCACTGCGCCATGAACATCATTCATGAAGCACAACGTTAGAAGAAATATTAATAAGTGTTTTTAACCTCTTCCACCTGGAGGCACTGGGACCAGTCCGGACCTGTTAGAAAAAAGTTTGTACTCTCAGCGAGCAGCCCGCCTGAAACACTGCTGTGCTTCATTTCTCTGCAATTTATGGAGCTGCAGTGAAATCAGTGTCGCTGACTCTCACATTCACAGTTGTGATTAGGTCAGCACGATATCTAAACAATAACACTGACGACGGGATATTAGCATTCTTTACATTTTGTGATAGGCGCAGTATTGCAATAACATAGCACAATTTGCCAGCAGTTTAATTGAATTTATAAGACATTAATATTTTGTGTCCTTGCATCGTCACACAGAATACTGCAGTACTAGGATGTATTCATTTTCTCACCCCTACGGGGGGCGTTTTTTCCAGTTTTTTGCAAAAAATCTCTCACTCAGAGGTCACAGCTTTGTTCTTTCTTATGGACTTACAGATAAGCTGGAACATTGTAGCCAGAAGACATGCAAACATCAGTGCTGAGCATTAGAGTGAAAGAAAGGGGCATCTGGTGCATATCATATTACTCCAACCGACCAATCACAATGTTGTGATGCTAAAATAGCAGAGCCTGCATCAGGGGTCCAACTCCAGTCCTCGAGGGCCGCTGTCCTGAAACCTTTCCATGTGTCCCGCTGCAACACACCTGAATAACATTAGTAGGTCATTAGCAAGACTCAGAACCTGAACACATGCTGGACAGCAGCCCTCGAGGACTGGAGTTGGACCCCTGGCCTACATAAAGATGAAGTCCTGACGTGAGACTTTGAGTCTGGCTACATTTAGAATTAATTATTTCAAAAAGTTTGCATAAAACAGACGATTAACAGTAATAATGTTTCTCTGTGGCACAAAAGCCCTGAGAGTGAACCTCTCCCATGCACCGAGCAAGCAAGTCAATAAACCGGTAAATACTATTAATAATATGAAAAATACAATCCTGGTGGCTTTTTTCTGCAGATGTCAGCTGCTCTAAATTTGCCTTCTCATTTCCACTTTTAGAGGAAATGTTACTAACAGTTACTAACTTTTTTTATCTAGATTATTGTGCACACACTGGACCCACACACACACAGCTGTCCATCATCCTCATCGAGTTCAAGTCATTTGTATAACAGTATGAATTTAATGCTCTGGACATGCTGAGCAAAGACACGTTGAACCAAGTTTAATTTTGCTTCGTCGTAAATTCAGTGTCAGATGTTTAAAGACGACTTTGAACTTTGAACCTTCCTCAGCCTCCCATTCTGCGTTTCGCTGCCACTCTTCCATTAACAAAATGAATCCTTGTAATAGTAATGTGATCGACCCAAGTCAACAACGGAGAGATAAACGCTCGCGTGGTTGTGTTCCTCACCTCAGTAGCAAACACACACTGCTCCAGCTGGTCTGGGATGATGAACACTGAGTGATACAGACTGTCCTTTGCAAAACTGAGAGGAGGGACGATGACGGACGGCTCGCATTTCTTACTGTTAGAGGAAACAAGAGCGAGACAGACAGACAGACAGACAGACAGACAGACGGAGAGAGGGAAGGTTGATCCAACAGCAAACAAAGATTTTGACAGCAAGACTCAGTGAAGATCCCCCCCCACCATGATCAGTTAAGACACAACGAGCTGCGACTTGTCTGAATTAAACTCACAGGAACGAAGCACAAACAGAAACAGAGATAACTATCAAACCATCAGGTCCTTACAGGTCATACTTGTTCTTGTCCAGGTGCTGCTCCTCCTTTGCCAGGTTGTAATCTGCCATTTTGTTTTTAAACATGGCCACGTTGTCGCTGCCCTTGTCCACCAGCGCTACATCCTTATTGGACATTTTAAGATGAGCTCCCGGGAGGAGGAAGGCCTCTTTCTCCTTCAGGCTGCCCAGAGTCGCTCCAGGTAAGCTCCCGTTCTTGGGCGCCCCTCCGCCAATCACCGCATTGCGGTTGTTCACCGTCTCCAGGTCGTTTTTTACTGACGTGGAAAGGGCTCTCAGCTCCCTGCCCCGGTACAGGTGGCGCAGAACGAAGATGGCGGCGCACACCAGCAGGGAAAATGTCACTATTCCCAGAGCAATAGCGGCAATCATGGCCGCTGGAGGGTCTCCATTCGCGGCCGGTTTCACAGTTGGCTTGAGAGAGTGTTCGCAGCGCGTGCCCATGAAGTTTCGCGGGCACTGGCACACGGGGCCGGTGAAGTGGGTGAAACACGTGCCGCCGTTTTCGCACGGGAACTGGTCGCAGAGGCTGGCGTGCACCGTGCAGTCCTTGCCGGAGAAGCCGAGGGTGCACGTGCAGCTGTAGTTGTTGATTCTGTCGAAGCAGGTGCCGCCGTTCCTGCAGGGATTGCTGGCACAGTCGTCGATGTTGGTCTCGCAGCGAGAGCCGGTGAAGCCTGGCTGACAGCGACACATGACGATGCTGCCAACGTCAAAACACTGAGCACCTGCAGACAGGAAAAAAACAGGTGTGTGTTAATAACAACTGGAGGAAACAACTGGCAAGGTAAAGCAGAAGAGGGCAGATGTTCATCTGCTACTGACTGATGTTGAGACTTCAAAGAGGTGAAACGGGCCCCAGTTTTAGGGTCATTTATTCTGCTGAGCAGTAAGTGTTACCAGATATGTAGTTAGCATGTTGGCCATGAAGCATCATTTGGAAAGGAAATAAAGTGTGTAGACGTTTAATAGATTCTGATGCCTTCAGCCCTGCTTACGAGCTAAAGCCATACAGCAGACACGGGAAACAAGGTTTTTGTGAAATACTCATCATTGAATCGCTCTAAACGTCTCATACGTTCACTGGTATTTCTGAGTATTAGTATGTGGACTAGAAAAAACAGGGGAACCACAGCAGAGCCTTGGGGGAGGCCGGAGGAGGCTAAATACTCCACAGTTTCATTCTAAAAAAAACAACAAAAGAAAGAAAGAAAAGAAACCAGGTTTCTGAAAATTTGACAAACTGTGGTAATAATTAAGCCGACAGTGTGCAGAAGACATTTTGAACCCTGCAGACTTGCCACAACGAAGCAAACTCCATCTGGACAGAGGAAGGACGAGCCGGGGCTGAGAGCGGGAGGGGAAAAATGTTCTTTACAACATTTCCTCTCAACAGATGCCCCTCAGAAAAACATGTGTGATTAGAAACATCCTGAGAAGTTGTTTTCCAGCAACAGGAAGTCATGTGATCTGCCAGAACAGTGGACTATAAAACTTAAACAGCCATATCCGTCATTTCAGTTTAACTTCTCTGAAACAGGAGAAGATGCGCATCACAAATTAGCTAACAAATGATTCATTTTTGCTTTTGCTGGGATTTCGTGCTCTAAAAGCATTTTTAGGAGGGGAGAGGCACTGATCCTGCAGCCATGTATGGGTTCATGTTGGGCTGTTATTCCAAACTGCAGGCTGTGTGCTGTAAAAACAGACCCATATTTGGTTGTTCTGTGTTGCAACACTGCAAACAGAGCACAGCGTCATCTATCAGGCAGCAGTATTTTTTTACCCTCTGTCAGGCTCACTGAAAGACAGGAATGACTGCAGATTGAAGATAAGCAGGCGGCGGTTTCCACATGTTAATGAGAACCTCAGGGAGAACTGAGGGGTCGACAGGCACCCCGAGAAGCGGGGGCGGATGATAGGCCGATGATGACTGTTGTTTAATTATAAACTCTGAGATATGCTTCCTTTATTAATGCCAGGTCTGCCGGTGGAGCCGTCTGACCCTGATAATGCGTCTCCTCTCGTAAACGACGTGAAACTTTAAACTGACTGTTGGCCCAGCTCGCACGAGAACAGGTTACCCAACCACAGACCACAGATTATAGAAATGAAACAGCAAAACATCTTGCACGGTGCAAAATATCAAGCTTTAGAGCCAGATCAACGTTAAAATCTGAACTCCAGCGGTTTTGTTGTGTTTTCCTCACACACACACACACACACACACACACACACACACACACACACACACACACACACACACACACACACACACACACACACACACACACACACACACACGGCTGTCAGCTACAACATTAACACTACTTACAGAGAATAAAAAACATTATCTAGCATCTAAACACTCGTGTCTCACCAAAACCATTTTGCATATTAGGTCAGGACAGTTGCTCGTAGCGACGACACTCCCCGGAGGCAGCGGTCTCTACAAACATCCCAGTGTCCGCCACAGGACACGTCCATCCCTAATGAGTCAAGTTTCTTCAAACAACCCAAAACTATTTGTTGGAAATACTTCTCTACGATATCTGGTGCTCTTCTGACTCTTTACGGCAGCAGCAAAGATGCAGACCTGTTGTGGGAAAGAAGTCAAGTTTATCCGCCTCCTTTATTAACACAAGAATGCTTTCATACTGTTTTTGATAACTCTCCTATCCCTCAAACTTTCTCACAGACGTTCTCTGAGGTGAGGATATGTTTATCTCCACAGCTCTAAACAGCTCAGACATCTTGTCTGCCTGACGAGGGCACGATATCCCCAGACGTCCCCAACCCCCCAGATGTAAAACAGTCGATTGCACATTAAACACGCTGAATTAAATCACATGAAATACTGTGCAAAAGTCTTGAATTATCCAAATTTCCTTGTGTTTTTTGGGGAGTTTGTCCGGTTCCAGCTTGACCTCTGTGCCAGCTTCTGTAACGTCTGTGAGGATCTTCAGGAACAGTTCTCCAGACGTCCTGAAGGATTCAAAGCTTTTCTTTCTGCCTTTTGTTCTTCTCTCTGTCGGGATGATCCCAAACTGAGGTCCAGGCTCTGGGGAGGCCGACCAATGACTGATCAGATGTGTGTTTTTCCATGAAGGAATGGTTTTACTGTATCGGCCCTGTGTTTGAATCATCACTGTGCTGAAAAATGAAGCCGTTAGCAGGCAGACGGTTTCCAGGTGGTACTACACGGTGGAAGAAAATCCGATGGTTCTTTTTCAGAGTTCATAGTTGCATAAAGATCTGCAACACCACTGACCACGGCCCAAATAATACAGAGCCTCTACCGTGTCTCTCCCGACCTCTCTGCATACCGACCTGATCCTGCAGCATCAGGATGACCGCGACCATCATCCCGACACACCGCACACCATGACAAGACACATCCGGCTGCTTGGAAATCACTTTTTTCACCCCCAAATATTTTTATGTCAAAATGTGAAATCTTTGATTGAACTAAAGAAATGGAAACAACTGATGTGTGTTTATGACAGGCTGCTGGTAACAATGAGCCTAAAGATACAATTTCACAGTGGCTAAGTTGTGTGTTATATGTACACGACACCGGTTCTCTTGTTAGGAGCCTTTGTGTCATCAGGTACAAGATCAGGGCCCTATTTCAGGAAGCCGGTTTAGAAAACTCAGAGTGAAAAACGATACTCAGGGTTGAGTAACCCCGAACTGTCCAACTCGGAATATTCGGTTTCAGAAAGGCTGATAACAATTAGTTCAGTCAACGCGGAGTTGCTTTAACCCCAAATTAAGCGCGCGCACGAGGATACATAAAGCCCTGATTAGTGGAGCACAGATTAAGCGAGTCACCATGGAGACGGAGGGAAAGAAGGCGCGGTCAATGTATCTTACAGCGCTTGAGGCCGAAATTCTGATGGCAGCATATGCCGATAACATGCAAATTTTGCAGAAAAAAAGTAACACAGCGACAGCTGCAAAAGAAAGAGAGCATGCATGGCAAAACATAGCCGACAGAGTCAATGCGTGAGTGTTAATTTAAACATTGATCGAGGGATTTCCACCCATTTAACACGCTATTTTATTATATTTTATTTTTTATTTCATACATTTTATTTTGTGATGTGATGTGAGCGCAGGTGCAACCCAACAGGCCCCAAACGTTCCTGGCAGCAAGTAAAAATGAAATATAAAAATATAGTCCAAACAGGTAAGGTGTAATTGTATTATGAGCCATAGTGCTTGGTCTGTTTGTCCCATGTCAATCGATTGCAGTTAGAGGCTACATTAATTTCCTTTCTGTAAGCACTTATCGAAATTATCTGAGCACATTACAAGTACATATTTGCTTACTCTGTATGCTCAAATGTGGCCCGTTATAGCCAACAGAAAAAAAAGCGGAGGCCCGAAAAACAGGTGGGGGTCCTCCACCACCACCCCTCACAGAGCCTGGCCACTTGGCTTCCACATTTGTGATAATGTTGGCAGCATCACATATGATCTTCACAGTGCAGAGAACACAAATTAGCATCCATTACTATAATGAAATAATTTGTTAGTTTGAAATACTACAGGGAACTATGTACCTGTACATTAATGCTGTGGAAAGACTTCCTGTTCACATAGTCTCCTTCATTTACTGAAGGAGACTATGCTTGGAATGTGAGTGCCATCTGTACAGCCAATCACGCCTGGGAACCGTGAGAATAAATGTAAGATTTAAGTAGTAGTTCAAGTATCACCACATCATGAATTAAGTTTTGGTCATCCTGATACCTGCAATTTTGTGGCATCCCTCTTTGATAAATCTTGTGGGTCTGTGACCGGGGAACACCACAGACGAGTGCAGGAGACGTTTCAGTGCAACTGTAACATTCCTGACTGCCCGACAGACGGTAGCCTTGGAAACGTGCTCAGCGTCACCAATATTATACAGAAAGCTCCCGTTTGCAAAAAACCGAAGTGCAATACAAATAATATGCACAGAACTGAGAGAATGTCCGCGATGTGTCACATGAGCAATATTAGGCCTGAGGATGTTATTCAAATAACTTATAGATTGTGCTGAAAAACGGTAACGTTCACACAGGAAATCATCAGGAAATGATAAAATGTCCAAACACGCTCTAATCACTCTCTCCCGGCGGAGAGCTCTGCGGAGAATTTGGGCTTCAACATCTACTGGCTCTTCAAGGAAGGAGCACGCCATGTCTGACACTTCCTACAGTCAGGTTTCTGACAAAGAGGCGGAGAACGTCAGGGTTAGTTGAAGTAAACCTGCTAGGGGGCAGGTTAGCTTCACGGAGTGTGTCGTCATAGTAACTCACTCAGAATTAATCTAAACTCGCTTTGTGAAACCGAAAACCCAGAGTTTTCGTTAACTCAGCGTATACTTACTCAGAGTTTGCACTAAACCGGCTTCCTGAAACAGGGCCCTGGACAGAACACGAGTGAAAACGTGGCCAGTGTGTAAAAATCTGTACACTCAGGTTCTGTGTAAGCAAACGATAAAGACGTGACTGACTCAAGACTTTTGCACAGTGCTTTAAGTATATGATGAGGTTACATCACAGTTTAATTAGTGATATTTATGACATTTGAATATTCAGCGTGTATATGATTGAATATTATCAGTACCAAAAAGCCTGAATCAATATTTATGATCAACTACAGTTGAACTATTATGGATTATTGATCTGGAGCAATTTGAAGTTCTGGACACAAATAAGAGAAAATAATACTGATAAGAATAAACTGCTTGAAAAGAGAAATGAAAACTTTCACTGTGTTTCCTGGATCGTTTGCATTAACTGACTTCTCAGGAATCACACACACGTCTGCGGATATTTGCGTGCCACTATGAGCCGACTTTATGGTTATCTTGCTGTTGTGAAGCTCTGGTCTGCATTTCCAGGAAGAAATGAGCCGTGGATGAAAACTCTATCAGACTGTTAACAGCTGGCAGCAGAGCTGGACTCTCGACAGAGTCGAGTGCAATCAGGTAGGTGAACAAAAGGACGAGCTCGTCTCCAGAGCTGCTGCGAAAACAGGTTTGTTTAAGGCAACGAGGACACAGTGTTTGTAATTGTGCGGGAGGTGACGAGACATGTTCGAGAGCTCCCGCCAAGCAACACACACACAGCACTAACACCACTCGCAGGTGGAGCGGCTAACGTTGATTATGCTGACCAAGCGCACCCTCGTCATTGCAAAGACGCCCCCAGATGGCAGCAGCCAAGTCTTCTGGGTACCAAACGGATCTAAACGAGGTCCAGGACACTACAGGACACTACAGGTCGCTCAGCCACACGGCCTGAATCCATACCCTGATCATTAGCAGCTGCTTTGGTGGTCCGAGTAGGGATCTACGCAAAGCCTGGCACTCGTCCCGACACATGTCTTTGATTACAAGCGTTTAAAGATCGCAGGTCCACGTCTGTGTACAGTTACTGGTAGAAACGTTTAACTTTGCATCATAAATTGTGCTCAGAGCAGAAAGGACTCAACATTTTCCAAACACTGGAACAATTCAGTGCAGGGTTGACGAGTGCTTGCAAACTTTATTGTAAAAGCCGTGCGACATGCACAACAGTCATGCTAACCTGCTTCCACTCATGCCTGCAGTGAGAGACGGTCTTAAAAATAAACTTTGGCTCATAAGCCAGCGACAGACAGATATGACCATCGTGAGGGCAGGTGGAGGAAGAACAGAGCTACTAATGTGCTTTTAACTCTGTGAAGCTGATGAAAATCTACATTTCTGCAGCTGCATGTGCCGAGCGTTGTTGGCGCTACAGTCATGGCAACATCAAAGCTCTAAATCGCGTTAAGGAGCTCTCAGCCTACGTTAGGCTGCGGGTAATAAAGCTCATGTCATGCTTCATCAACTGAAATATAAACCGAGAAGCATAAGCAGATGTTTTATCCGCTCCTATCCTTCGTTGGCAGCAGAGAAATATTTGGTTCACAACAAGAACAACAAATGACAACATAACGATTCCCAGGAAGAGTCGGGACTGGTAATTCATGTTCTATCACATCTGAAAGGCTCGCTGTGAGGTTTACAGGAGTTTAGCTCCGATTCTCTCCACACCAGCCTTCGCACTCTGGGCAAGACTAAGCCGAGCCCCAAACGAGTCGCTGCAAATGAATGCATTTCATCTAAGCATGCAAATTCCAAATATTCATATTCTGAATATGAATTTACCGGCTCCAGAACCTGATAAGATATGAGTGATGTTATCAGTGCTGACCGGGAAACTGGGAACCAGCAAAATAAACAAAGGTGACTTTGATCTGCTCCAACACAAACATCAGGCCTCGTCTCAGTAATGCTTTTTATATTTCTGTCATGTAGAGAGGAGAGACCGTTAATTGTAATGGAAAGCTGCAGCCAGACAGGTAGGAGTCACCAAACAGTAACATCATTTGCTCTTTTTTGTGTCTTATTACCAAAAACACCTCAAACCTGAACTCTACCACAGCTGTGCAGTTTAGAGCAACACGCTGCTGATCAGAAGACAGATTAACATCCCAGTGACGCAGATGATGCACTGAGATTTGATTTTCCTGAGGCTGTCCCTGCACTTCAAGCCACATATACCAGCTGAGAAGTCAACCCTCTGATGTCTGAATCATCCTCGGTGACCTCAGCGCCAACCCGAGTCATCAAAATATCAGGAAACAAAGAAAATGACCGTTGGAGCTGAAATGCTTCAAAACCTCAGCAGGTTACGCGAGCTGTAGCAGCCATGTCTAAAATATGCACTGATATCTTCAAGCTCACACGGCGCCTACAAAGCACCGAATCTGCAACTATTTTTTATTTAGACGAAGACTGTAAGACTGTGTTGACTCCGACAGGAGCGACCTTTCACTTAACCTGACTGCTGGGTGACAACGAAAGTAAACACAATGAAACTGAACTGGTTGAAACTCTGGTGCATTTCTGTGTGTTGTGGTTGTTTCACGTGTCATTATTTAATCATTACTGCAGCCTGTGCACTGTGGGACATTGATTTATAGCAGTATTTAAATTAAAGTTTAACTGATGCACGGCCCAGCCTTTGGGATGTCGAGGCTTTAAGCCAAGGCCGCCAACGCAAAGCCACTGCAGTAAAATCATCAGAGCTGAAGAGTCGCACAAACAGCAGGTGAGAAAAAGCACCAAACTCTGATAAGCTGAGAAGCATTCAAAGAATCTGCACGTAATAAAGAAAAGCAGCCAGACTGGACACATTCCTGCAGCTCAGTCCCTCTTTACACTTTGAGCTGCAGCGATCTCATTCAGAGACTTCGGCTGCTATTTTTAGCTGCACAGACGCCAACGCTGGTTAGCGAGCAAATCGGATATTAGTTTCACGGATTAAACACGCGTGAGTGCGCATTTACTGCATTGTTTACATGGATGTCAGCCACTTGCACGTCTGAACTGCACAGGCACAGAGTATCTCAACTTTCTATCAGCTTTTCCTGCTCCCAACGTGTTTTGGATGCACTGATAGGAGGCTGCTGTTACGTGGTTCAGTCTTATCTGGCAAGTACAAACAGGACTGTTGGAACAATAAAGCCGAGCCTGCTGTTCTGTTTGTATTCAGTTTGCAGCAGCAGCTCAGAAAGCACGCGATCGATCAGACAGACCGGGCGCACGAGAAAATAAACCAGCACGACCGTCTTTGTCCTTTACCAGAGCGTGTCCCTCTCCACAGCCACCTCTGGAACTCCCACAGTGTGTGAAACATGCCTGTGATTGGCTCACACGCAGACCAGGTGAAAATGCAAACGTGAGCCCTCTCTCTCGTTACATTTGTTTCTGAGGAAAGTTCAAAAATGGTATTAAGTCATAATATCTGCCTGGTTCTGTTCATTGTATAAAAGTGGTTAATGGGGACCTAATAAGATTTTTAACAGTGATGTTTTCGACGTATGTTGTGGCGTCAAAACTTCCCTAGGAATGCACGAGTCCCTGCAAACACACACGTGCACGTCTATGAAGGCGTTTGAATGCAAAGGTATCTCAATATTTCACACACAATTATAAACTGTGTGTGTGTGTGTGTGTGTGTGTGTGTGTGTGTGTGTGTGTGTGTGTGTGTGTGTGTTAGCAGAGACACAGCAAAGTCACAGTTTTCAGTTTTCTCTGATGACTCATGCGATGCTGTGATGATGCTTCAAAAGCCTGGGCGGCTGCTTCCTCCAGTTCCTCACTGACCTGCTTCTTCTCAGGAACGTATTTTGAAGTATTTCGCTGCTTCTATTTATTCTGTCCTTTGACTTGCATGACTTATTCCAAATGTATCTGCAGAGGAGCAAACGCAGCAGCGTGCATCGTGTCACCACGGCACTGAATTAAAAGTAAGTGTTGCTCCACATGTGTGAATTCTGAGAGGTCTGTCAACTATTTCCTGTTAATCATCAAGCCGACTGTTTACAGGAGGCTAAACCAACCCTTGGACCACAGGTGTCGAACTCCAGGCCTCGAGGGCAGGTTTTAGACGTAACCTTGATACAGGACAGCTGATTTAAATGGCTAAATTACATCCTCAACATGTCCTGAAGTTCTCCAGATGCCTGATGATGAACTAATCGTGTGATTCAGGTGTGTTGACCCAGGGTGAGATCTAAAACCTGCAGGACTCCGGCCCTTGAGGCCTGGAGTTTGACACCCCTGCCTTAGACGTTGCCCAGGAGCTCCTGAGGGGCTCTGCTGGTGACCCTGAACAGATGCTGAATCCAGCTGCCAGGCTGAGCCGATGGAACTTTGATATATTCGATTTTTATTACCAAAAACGTGAAAGTTTTATTTTTACGCCTTATAGCTCATGAAAATCAAAATTCCAGTATCTCAAATTATTAGAAATATTTCAGGTTTGCGTCGTTCACTGTTGGAACAGCATAAACACCGTGCAGCTTTTGGTCTAGTTGACTACATGCAAACACAACCGTGGGGACGACTGTTGACCTGGACTGAGCTGATCCTCGAGGAGCCAAATTTCTCTTTTCACTGAAGTAAGTTTTGCATTTTGTTTGGAAACGAAGGTCCTGGAGGAAGTCGGAGACACAGAATCCAGGGGTCTGAAGTCTAATGTCAGGTTTCTGTGATGGTTTGGGGTGTCGTCCAAAATCGGCGCAGCCATCTACCAGAAGATGCTAGCGCACTTCATGCTTCCAACTGCTGACGAGGTTTGCTAACCACGACAGGAACACGAGACGCACCCGACAGGAGCTGGTGGCCGTCACAGCTTCAACAACGCCTGAGCAACAACACGCTCGCCATGTCCACGACACACTGATGCAGCGGTTCGTGGTAATGGGACTCCAACCACGTGTGTGAATCAACTGCTATCAGAAGTCTCTGTATGCAAATCTTTATTTATATACATTCTAATAATATGAGATACAGTGCTTTAGATTTTCATGAGCTAAAAGCAGTAAAAAGCTTTCAAATATGTGACTTTACATGTAATAGATAGAGAGTATATGAAATCTGCAGCCTTGTGGATTCGAGCCCATTTGGGGTCGTCAGCCTGGAGGTCTGAGGGTCGTTCTGGCCCTGTGTGAACAGTCTGTGGCCAAACATCATTCAAAGAGAACTTAAAACGTACTAGGATAACATAGAAAGCGTAACTGTGAACTTTAGCATGGTTAGAGATCAGACGGCACTCTGTGTTTCTGATGATGTGAAGTGCATGAACTGGGCTACACTCGACTGGTACCGTTAGTGCAGGGGCTGCTGCTGCTGCATCGATCCATCCTCTTCTCACAGTTGGAGCCTGTGAAGTTGGACGGGCAGCGGTAGGTGTACCCGCCGGTGTCTTCCTGTATGCAAGTGCCTCCATTAAAGCACGGCCCGTCAGCGCACCTCATGGCGCTGATCTCGCAGCTCTTCCCGTAGAAACCCTGAGGGCACGTGCAGGAGTAATCGTTCTCCGAGTCCTGGAGGAGAGACAGAGGAGAAGAACAAGGTGAGGAGGCGACAAGCAAAGCTGCGTGTGATTCTGATTCTGCAGCATCGGTTAGCAAAGGTGCGGCCTGCTGCGAGCAGTTAGTGCAGGTTATAGTTCGGTGAACTATTACATCATCAGCAAAATCACACGGACTTTGCACCAGCAATCCACACCGTTACCCCTCTGAGGTATAAGCACTGTCAGAATTAGCTTTGTGAACATTAGTGTGAGTTTTTGTTTAAGATACTATTTTAATTTATCAGAAGGTTCAATAAACAGCACTGATGAATGAAACATTTACTGACAATTACTTCATGCTTCAGGCTCCCTAAAAGATGATGATGAGCGAACAGTGTTAACACTAAGTTCTAAACCATCATCACCAACAGCCCCATTCCCCTAACCTGACCCCGACCCCGACCCCGACCTTTACCTCAGTTGTGGAGAAAAACGCTTTATTGGAAATGCACACCAGCTGATTACTCTTTGTTTTTTCCTCCCTGATTGCTAAGACTTTGCACAACAAGATTTGGATTAGCGTGACTGTTACGACTGAGTGTGCAGGTGCTCCTCCATGATTGGTGCATCCAGGGTGGATGGATCGTACCGACTGGCTAACAACCGGGAGGCAACGCATAAGAAGACACCGCCAGGGACTGCCAGGTGATTCATCCTCGGCCCGACCCAACCGGCAGACCGTTCACTGTGTCACTATGTTGGTTTAATGTAGGAGCATGTAGGGGTGGACCGCCTTTTTGTTGTGGTCTGGCCGCGCCTAGACGGGCCATAACAGTGACCATCAGTGACCTCTGACCTCTCAGGGCTAACAGCTTGACATCCAGTCCGACTGTGTCTGGCATTTTTGTTCCAACATGCTACTCCGCCAGGAAACGCTCTATCCTGCACGTGAGAAGCTGGTAAAGTTGGGAGTTACTACCTAAACGATCTGAAGAGTTAAAGAAAAGGAGGTTTGGCTGCACCGAGCCCGTTGCTGACTTACGTTGCAGCTGCCGCCGTTCCTGCAGGGGTTGCTGCCGCACTCGTTGACTTCGACCTCGCAGTCTTTGCCGGTGTAGCCGGGCCGGCAGGCGCACGTATAGCTGCCCTCGCCGGTGTTGGTGCAGGAGGCGCCGTTCTGGCACGGCTTGTGGTTGGTGCAGTAATTCAGGTCTGCAGTGAAGAAAGAAGATTACAGGAAACGGGAAACAACAACATCCACAACAAGAGACGAGGCAACTGTGGCGTCTGCTGTTTTAGTGTTTTGATTGTTACCATAATCCTTGTCGGTGTCGGTGCTGTGCTTTTGGAAACCGAATTTCCCAGAGGAACCCACCCGAGGGATTAATAAAGTTTTATCTTATCTTTGGTGTTTGAAAGTCGAACTCAAAACCACAACAAAATCCCCTCAGTGCCACTAAATTAAAGTGTTTTGGTTTTGTTATTATGATTGATATTTCTAATTTCACACAGACACATCTGTGGAGTTCCCTGTTCACAATGCGATTCATGTGTTTTCTTGCAAACATAATTCACGAGTCCAGCTCATCTCTGCAGCGACAGATGGAGCTGCTGTAAAACACTAAACAACATGTTTCTGTTTGAAATGCTAAAACCAGCTGACACAGTTGGAAACTGTCGCATTAACCACGACAGCAGCAGGCAGGTAATTTAACATTTACAACAATATTTATTCTACTGCTACTATTCTGCTGCAGATCTCAAACACAGATCCACGTAACCCTAATCAATCAGCAGGTGATTGGTGATGTATCTTAGAGGTGAGAGGTTTGATTAAGCTGACAGTTTACTGTTCAGAACGGGAAAAGCAAAAATGTTCAGGACTTCATTTGAAATGCAACATGTAGTTAAGTTTTAGGTACCTGAACATTTTTGAGTCTACTGAACAATCACTTTAAAGCAATGTAATTATCCATAACCAGAATGCAAATAATGTAAACCCTGAGCGGTGCATGTAGAGGCAAAAAGACAGAAAGTTTGTCATGTGAGCTGTTATTAGATTACTTGGATCAATGCGAGTGATCGGTGTGTGAACATATGTACAAAAAAGGAAAATAAAAGGAAAGGTATTAAGGAAAATGTAAAAGGACTCAGGATGGCGCCCTGAGGTGCCCCGCTTCAGCTCAAACACAATGCTGTCAACCTCGGTGCCTTTGTCTAAAGGTTTACTTTTATAAATGATCAAATGCTGCTGAGGAGCAAATCCTCATTCCCAGGGTGCCAAATCCTGCCGTTAAAAGTTCAAATAGAGGACTCGGTGTCCTCTGTGCTCGGCGTCATCGATGGAAGCAACAGTGGGACTGTTTTTCTCCCAGCTCGTCACATATGGATGTCCGGTCAGGCACCAGCAGTGTCACGTCTGAGGGGAATATTAGAAATGGCTTTTCTACCATCCCACCACCCTCCCACTGCCCTGTCTGGACTTTGTGGGAAGAAAAACATATTTATTGTTCATGTTTTGGTTATACTGGCCCAACATAACCGTCTTCATTTAAACACAGTACATGTGGCTTTTTTCTGCATACATGCAGATGACGCACATAAAAACATCCCCTCATAAAGATCTGTTATCAAATGTGGAAATTTGTCTTTAATGTGTTCAATCTTTAACCTTAAATCTATTGATATTCTGCAGATGAGCAGGGTCAGAGGTCATACCTCTGCATGGCAGCACAGTTCTCAGTTCTGGGATTTAAAAACCGCTGTGGCCAAAAGTTTGTGTCACCAAAGACAAAACTGAATGTTTAAATTCTTTATATGAAATGTTCATGATTACTCTTCACTGCGTCACAGCAAAAACAATCATCTGAACTGAAGGTTCAGCAGCAAAGTGCATGAAACACAACATTTGTGTGGCTAACCTGCTGTGGTGCGTGGCTTTAAAGAACCTGCGTATAAAGTAATCATTGTTACAGTCACTTAAAAACTGTTATTGGCTCATAAAACTAAACCAGCAGCTTATTTCTAAAGATTGTCAGAAATGTATTTAGAGCTGCTGACACGATGTCTGCTGACATTTCAGGTAAAAGTCTCTGAAACAGAAAATAACTGATGCGGTGAACCAAAAGCTTGTCTGTAAAGGGGTTTGCTTCCACACGAATGCAGCCCTCATTTCATATCAGCCCCAAGCTTCTTCTATATTGTGAATAAATTGCATCATATCAGGTCATTTAAAGATATAAGTGACAAATTAATCTGATCTTAGTTAGTCAGACGCCTCTGGCATCAGAAACGATGGTTAAAAACAGCTCTACACTTCCTTAAACTAAAAATAAAACATCTTTAAAGAGCACTCTTGGTTTTTACTTGCTGTTCGATGAGAGTTGTGAAATAAATCATAGTTTCAGCTAAAATGCGTCACTGTGGGAGGACAGTAACAGCTGACGTACAGGCAGAAAAACACCTCATAGTGAAATACATCAGCTTCACACTGTTTTCCTGAAAGTTTAAATCGTTGCCAACAAACTGGGTGAATCTTTTTGCAGCTCTGAAAGTGTGTGGATTTATTTCAATAAACAGAAAAAGGAGAAGTTACAAATCAGCCGCAGCGTCGGTTTGTTGTGGGGGTGGGGTGGGGGTATGCTTGAACCTGCAAAGGCTGCCCGTTAACCCCACCGGGGCGACGCTCCCGCAGGTTTAAACCCACCTTGGTCGCAGTACAGGCCGCCCCAGCCCTCCCTGCAGTCGCACTGCCAGGGCAGCTTACAGGTCCCGTGTTTGCAGCCGGGGTGTCGGACGCACTCGTCGCAGCTCTTGCCCTGCCAGCCCTGCTGGCACACGCACTCCCGGGGAGACTTGCAGAAACCATGCTGCTCGCTGCACCCTGCACAGATGGCTGATGGGAGGAGGAGGGACGCAGGGAGAGAGAGGGCAGGAGGAGGAAGGTCAAAGAACGCAAGAAAGAGAGGGAAGGGAGGAAATATTATCATGACTGTGTGTGTGTGTGTGTATGTGTGTGTGTGTGAGAGACAAAACAGCTCCTCACCCGTCTAAGGGACTCCTCCTTAAACTCACACACGGTCACGATTACATGACTGCATCACGTTAACTTTCTTTAATTTCCTGGAGACTCACTTTAACCTGGACCTGCTGAAAGCTCACCTTAAAACTGAATGAATAAACGCACGCACGCACACACACACACACACACGCACACACACACACACACACACACGCACACACACACGCACGCACACACACACACACACACACAGCTCCCCTACAAGTGCTTGTTAAGTGCTGAACGAAGCAGCTGGCCCGCACAACAAAAGCAACACATGCTGTCTCCTTTCACGCAAGGCAGCACACATTAAGCTGCAGCGCGTGTCCCCTTAAAGGCGGGCGGGCCGGGGGCCGACTGGGGGCCCATTGTTGATCTCAAAACAAAAGGAGCAGACCTCAGAGGCACACACGCACACTGGAAACGACATAAGCTCTAACATCTCTTTTTTGTCCCCTGCAGCCACCAGGGCCAGCGGTGGCACTGACAACTGCTTGACTTCACAATTTCAAGGCTGCCAAGGGTCCCATTCTTTACCCCCCCCCCCCTCCTCAGCAGGAGAAACGTTAGAATAAAAAATGGAGGGAGCTCAGGAGGAGGAGTTGCACTACTGGCACTACTGTAAGAAAACAAGAGATCGCTCCTGATTTGGAGCCAGTTTTGTTGCATCATTGAACGTTTTTAGTATATTTTCGTGAGACTGGAGCCGTTAAAAACAGCTTTGCTCAGCGTGTGACTCTGGGTGTAATCTTAAGTGAGAAGGGCACCAATGACTCTCCTCAAATGATCATAAGCAGTAAAATTACACCTTAAAGGACAATTTCTGTTGAATTGCTGAAAGCATCACAGAGGACACTCACCCACTGTGCAATACTCTCCTTTCCAGCCCTCCAGGCAGTTAATCTTCCCTTCCTTGTCACAGGTGTAGTGGCCGAAGGTGTCGTTGCGTGGCCGGCAGTAGGCGGAGCAGGCCTCCCCGTGGTAGAACTCCTTGCACACGACGTGGTAGGAGTAGTGGAGCTCACTCTGGTTGCTGGTGTTCTCGCCCTTGGTCCAGTCCTCTCCAACCCTCAGCTTGTGGCGGGTGGCCAGCCGGCTGATCAGGTTGTTCGGATTCTCTGGTTGGAAATACATCATCATCATCATCATCATCAGACAAAAACACCACTCGTGTTTTTAATTATGTTCGTCTGTGGCGATAGTAAACATTAACAAATAATAGTTTTAAGTGTCTTTATCTGGTGCTTGTTGATGTTCACAGGTACGAATCACGAGTGGATTCTCTGTGCGGGAAGATGAACTGTGAGCATGAGGCCTGATTGTGTGAGCTGTCGCCACCTGCCGGTGAGCCGGCGGCGATGCGTCGGGAGTTTACCTATGGACCGTCCTGGAGCGTCCGCCTTCCAGGCTTCAATGATCAGAGAGAACGTCCCCTGAAAGTAACCGGGAAAGGAAACATCTTAGTTAGTTAGATGTTAGTAGACGTGGAGGGAAACGGCACATTTGAGTTTGCTTTGTCTTTCTGAGGCTTTTGAGAAAAGTTTCTTCTTCTCTGGATGTTTGTGGCTGAAAACCTTTAAGATTTCAAGAGCAATAAAGAAATAACTCCTTTAGTGCATTCGCTGCGCTGCTGTCACGCCTGAAACACGCGTGACTGTCGTTACTTACCGGCCACTTGAATTGAAACTGCACTCTTATGGGCTCTCTCTCGGAGATGGAGTTGGAGTCGGCGTCGAAGACATCCGTGAACGCTTCGCCGTACGTGCACGGCGGCTCCGGCTTAATAACGTTCTGCGAGTGTTTGAGGCACACGCGGAAAAAAATCAGGCAGTCCTCAGACTTTTGGCCACAGATGCCGCTGGAGCTGGTGAAGGAGTCGATCTTGAGCTCGAAAACTCCGGCGGTAAGAGCCTGAGGGGGGCAAAGAGAGGAGAGGGGTCACCTGGTGCAAAGACGCACACGAATTCATCACTGCAAAACGGCGCACGTCTGCATCACAAACCCGACGCGCGCGGTTTCTGCAGCGCAGCGTGTCCGAAACACGTAACACAACAGTTTAACAAAAGCATCAACAAAGCCCCACGCCCCCGTGGGTCCCGTGAGCGCTGTCACTCACCGTCTGTGCCAAGGCGAGCAGCAGGAGACACGGCAGCAGCGAGCGTGCCATGGCGCGTCCACAGGTCCAGTGCGTAAAGTCCAAAGGATCCAAAATCAAACGGAGAGACGAAGAAAAACCTCCAGAAAGAGCGGGCAGTGTCCGCGGTGTGCAACCCGAACTGAAACAAAGTTTAATCCGCTCCGCGCTGAACTCTGGACCGCAGCTGTCGTCCCACCTCCTTTATACCTCAGGAGGAGGGCAGGAAGGAGGTGCGTCGACTGCAAGGAGGGAGGGCTGCTGTGCTGATGTTTCTGTGAAATGAGTTTAGAACGAAAGAAAAACAAAAGCAGCAGTGAGTGAAACTCCCCATGCCGCGCGCCGTTACGCACGCTTTACGCGTTCTTTTAACTTTTTATTTTTCAGGCGCTTCTTTTCTCCAGCGCTGCGAGAACACGAAGCCTGAGCCACTCAGATTATACAGATTTCCAACACTCTGTGTGACGATGTCACGAGGGACGGGGGGGATGCTTTGATTGGCTTTCACCAGCTGATGGTGCAATTACGCAGCAAAGTGCCAGGAGCCAAACGCTCACGACCGAGGCGCTGCTTTTACTGCCTCTGTGACGTCACAAAGTGTCCGCAGGTATTTACCTTGTGCGGTCAGCACGCTGAGGCAGTGAAATGTGCTGTGGAAGTGAAACTACCTCTCCGCGCACACCACACGCGCCTCTCCTGTCGCGTGCCGTCCCACGAGTGGGGAGGAAGACTGAAATTATGGTGGGTGGTTTTGAAGCTCTGAAGCGCGAAACAGCGAAGTCAGAAGAACCTGAACGTGGTCCTGTCAAGTTCTTAGTGTGGCAGGATTAAATCACCACAACTTATCCTGACACGTCGCCTGAGATTTTTATATTCAGAGGTTGAGTTTAAAATGCGCGAAACTTTTATTGTTTGATTTAGAGCTGCTGAAACCAATAAAACCAACAAATTCAGCTGTTGGTCCGGAATTGGACTGATGTGTTTCACAGTTTTTTATATTTGCAGATTAAAGATATCTGCAGTCTTTAATCTGCAGTCTTTAATCTGCGGGGACTGCACAGGTTACACAAATAAATCAATCACTGAGAATTTGTGTTCAGTGAAGTCACCTGATAGTAATCAAACTAAAGCACTTTCCACGTTTCTGTGATCGAGCTGTGGCTCAGTCTCATACATTCAGTTTAGTTTAATGACTCAGACTCTGCTGTGAGAGATGTTAGAAAAGAATGAAGAGCCCAGTCCAGCTGTCCGTCACACGCACACTTACAGCTGCTTTGTCCCGTTTGGAGTTTTGCTTCTTTCTCATCACTGGTTTGCTTTTTACCCATCAGGGCTCTCCAACACCAACCGAGTCATTTTGGGAGCCCAGTTATACTCGCTGTTCTTCAGGTCGGTGTCACACGTCACAGTGGGACAGAGTGACGTCGTTATTTTTCATCAACATAAGCAATGGGGCGAACTTAAACCAAACAGGGATCTCTGCTGATCTTTGACATATTTCTACTCTTGCACTACAGCAGCTCTGCATGATCCACAGTTCATAATAATCTTTCTTTATCTAACACTCGCCCTCAGGTGCAGCCTCGGAGCTGCTGTCTGAAACAAGCTCCTCGTTCCTCAGCTTTTGCGCCTCCAGGCTGCCGTAGCTGAGGCACGCCTCACACACACTTCAACAAATGAGATTTCAATCTAGATTACATGCACCTTAGTGTGAGTGTGTGTGTGTGTGTGTGTGGGGGGGGTCTCAGCTGTATGATAATGACCCACCTTCAGGCCGTGGAGCTTCACTGATGTTGCTAACTTGTCACCAAAAACAGAGCCATAAACTCTCTGCGTACAGTGTCAACACATGAGAGTAAATAAGGCCTGCTGCATTCATTCATTCATTCATTCATTCATTCATGTATTACTGGTAATGCCTGAGCCCTGAGCTCACTAGGTGTTTCCAGGGGTGTTTAAATGCACACAGACTTGAGTTTTAACCAATCAGAGCTGTTGTTGCTGCGTTGCTGTGAAGGTGCCAGTTTTCAGCTGGCTGTGTTCTGTTTGCAGCTAAACAGCTGCTGCTGCTGCTGCTGGTGGTGGTGGTGGTGGGGTCTAATCTACAGAGAGAACTTTAAACCAGTTTAACAGCTGTGGAGCTTTCAGGTGACTTTTGAAAGTTACTCTGGTTAAATTTAGAAGAATAAACCTGATCTCAGAGCTACTGCGGAGCTTTGAGCTCACAGGTTTGAAGAGCACTTCCATAAACCCAGATTTCTGCTGTCAGCTGTGAAAACAAAGACACTCCTGCTCAATTTCAGGGAAATGTTCAGCGAATGGACCGAAACACAGAGCTCGGGCCTCCCCTTCACCTCAGGTGTATGAGGAGGAGGCGCTCATGCTGATGAGCTGTAGCTTTTGTTGGGCTGCCACCCCCACCGCCCAACCCCCCACCTCCACCATTTGTATTTGAATGAGGGCAGCGCGTGCCTCTGCTGGTCCTGAATTCAGCCCCCCTCCTTCCTGGCACGAGGCATGCTTCATCACACCCTATTGTGTGTGTGTGTGTGTGTGTGTGTCGCAGGGATGAATTCTATAATATAAACCAACAACAACAGATGTTTGGCTCGAGACGAGTCGGCAGAGTCTCAGAGAAACAAGAAGGAGGCGTGAAAACTCCTCCGAGCTGTAAACTGGATGTTTCACACATAAACCGGTCACATGACCCCAGCCCATGTGATGTCACTGAGGAAGAACAGGAGGAAGAGCTGAAAGTCAGAGCATCATTTTTCCAGCTGTGCAGGCTTCAGGGTGAAGGTCTGATCTTATCCTCAGACCACAGCACGACGTCTCATTTCAAGAATCAAGTGCAGTTTTTCCCAAACCCTAAAACACGTTTGCAGAAACTTTTGACTCGGCTGCACATCCGAGTCCAACAACATCCCAGAACCAATTCTGCCGTTTGGTTTCATACATGTGCAAAAACACAACGTGTCACAGCTCTGCCCCTCACATCGTCTACAGTTCATATTAACCTTCATCACGTCGTGCTGTTTAAGCAGGGAGCTCAGTGCTGCTCGTGAATCTCAAGGAGGATGTGCAGAAACATCCAATCAGAGCTGCATCGACATGCAGGTGAAAACTGCTCAAACCACATTCTCACATAAGTGATTGAATCTGCTAGAAAGAGAGGAAGCGCTTTAGTGCACGAATGCATGTTTAAACATTCGAGTCAGACCGTCTCAGTCCTGCAGCAGCTGCCTGACGCTGGAAACACGTCAGCTTCATGCAGTGTTTGTGTATGGATGCATCGGGAGGGGTGATGAGTCAGAGTACCAGGCTGTGGTCGACTCCTTTGTCACGTGGTGCGAGCAGAATCATCTGCAGCTCAACGTGGCAAAGACCAAGGAACTGATCGTGGACTTCAGTAAGACCAGGAAACACTTGACCCCGTTTCAATCCACAGGGTCAACGTGGACATTGTGGACGACTATAAATGCCTCTGGGTTTAAAAACACTACCACACTTTACAGGAAGGGCCGGAGTCATCTCTATTTTCTGAGGCGGCTGAGGTCCTTTAACATCTGTCGAACTATGCTCTGGATTTTCTACGAGTCTGTTTTGGCCAGTCCTCTATGCTGTTGCATGCTGGGGCAGCAGGTTGAGGCTTGCTGATGCTAACAGACTAAATAAACTGATCCACAAGGCCAATAATGTTGTGGGGCTGGAGCTGGACTCCCTTAAAGTGGTGTCGGAGGCGAATGTTGTCCAAGATAAAGACAATGTTGGACACCCCCTCCCACCCACTCCATGACGTGCTGGCTAGCCACAGGAGCACGTTCAGTGAGAGACAGATTACTGAAAAGCACCACTGAACGACACAGGACATCATTCCTGCCCGTGGCTCCCTGTACAACTCCTCCACCTAACACACTAAACACTGCAACAGTTGCACCCTTTCTCTTTCTTATTCGGTAATGTTGCTGTCAATTTTCAAGATATTTCCTTATAATCACATCTGCCAACCCTGGATACTTATTATGTGTTGATTTTTACATATTGTGCTATTCCTTATATCCTGACATATTGTATTGTTAAATAGTTTAGTCTGTTTTTGTTAATGCAACTGCAACCCACATAATTTCCTCAGGGATTAATAAAGCATGCTGATTCTGTTATGTGTGTGTGTGTGTGTGTGTGTGTGTGTGTGTGTGTGTGTGTACTTGTTTTCATGACATCTTAGGACAATTTTATGATAACACACTCACAAAATGAGGACGCTCAGAAAAATGAGGACATTTTTGAGGTCCTCATTTTTCTGAGCCTTCTAAAGTGTTCTAGAGGCTCCCAACATGCTCCCAAACCAAAAATCTCGGAAGTCCTGAAACATCACAATTTTATGAAAAAGTGTGTTTAAGTGTGTTTAGCGTTTTTGCTCACTTTCAGTTTCACCGCCTACTGGCCAGTTTTGGAACTTAACACACTTTAAACACACTTTCAGTGACGTCACTCTGCGAGTCCTCATATTGTAGGTGTGTCAGACACAATAACACATTTGACCCAGGTTATACCCTTCTGGGGCTTAGCGGACACATGCGTGGACAGCATCTTTTAGCTCTTATGTCCACAGTCGTATTCAATGTTGAAATGGAGGTGAAATTTATTTGAAACATTCGTGGAATAGTAACAGATGAATTTTGAGGGTTCTGAAAATTGTTCGTTCAAACCTTGCCAATTAAACAATCATTCTAACACACATCAAAATCTTTTCACATTTTTATACATATTAAGGTGAACTCTAAACAAGGGTAACAACAGTTAAATCAGGCAAATCTTGACAAAAATGAAGGTCTTTAGGTTCAGTTATCAGTGCCTGCACAGCTTGGTTTCTTTTGTTGTTGACAAAATGTATCGAAATATAAAGTTTCAACATTTGTCTAATTATATTACTATTAATTAATGAGTCTTACTTCTCAAGATCAATGCACAAATTGTCTGACCTTCACTATGCAGAATGATGTGTGTGCAGATTTTGACCCTTGAAGAGTTTATATTAATCTGAATTAATATAATTGCATCTGCAATCCGCAGTTGAACTTGGAGATTCCTGCCGCTGTCATCTGATTCAGTATGATCATCAGGCTCAGTCTCGACTCTGTGTATCTACAAGAATTGATGAAAAAAGTCAACACTTTATTAATTATATTTTAAATTCAACTTACCTTATACTTTTTACAATATGGTATAAAATGCATATTGTTTCTTTAAAAACTAATAACACACTATTAAAAACTGCAGAATGCACAATTCCAGCTTCATTTAGTAATTCAATTAGTAAATAAAAGTGAGTAATTAAGTCACTTAATTAACTAAGCAACTGTAAATGTCACAGTATACAGAAGTACAATTCAATTTCAATTCAATTTTATTTATATAGCACCAAATAACAAAAAAAGTCGCCTCAAGGCGCTTCATAGGTACAGAGAAAAACCCAACGATCATACTGTATGACCCCCTA